CCCCCCCTCTGTTCTCCCTCGCGGGTGGATTGGCCGCATGTGTGTCGAATACCAAATGCAATTGCAATCGACTTTGCTGCGTCTCGCTCCCAGTTGTAGTTGGTTAAGCTCTGCTGGGCATGTTCTTTTTTTTCGCACATGTTTTTGGTCGAGGCTGGCTATTTTTGTCGCGATTTGCACCTCCGAAAAAACAGCGACATCATCATCACCCAGAGGGTGGTGATAGCACGCCAGCGCTGCGATTAGTCTCTAGCCGACTCTGCACGCCGTGGCTTGGTGCCAATGGATGAGTGCAGGGATTATGTGTTAACCCTTGGGCATGCCGCTGATAAGCGCTGCGCTTTTCCACCATGCTTTCGCCGAGGGCTCTTGCTAGCAGAAATTAAAGTGAAAGCTCTCCGCTGCTTCTGCTGCCGGCTGCTTGCTGCCCTTCGCGACGTCGCTGTCCCTTCCTCCGTGCTATGTTGTGCGTGCATACCGCAGGCTGCGGACTTCCGCAAAGGGTATGGAAACTGGCGTAGCAAGAAGTCCAAGGGCGCCAGGGGCGAGACGGGCTACCTGCTCGACAAGGAGAAGCTGCATGCCACCGATGTACATCACACGGATGTGAGTGAAGAAGTCAGGACAAGAGAGAGGACAGATGGCCGCCTTCTGCCGATCGAATTAATTCGGAGGCCGTGGCTGCAAATGCTGGGTAGTGTTGGGGCAAGGGAAGCGGGTTGTTTGATTGCATCAAGGCATTGGAAACTATTCTGGCGCCAATGGGTTGCCTCCTCCTTCCCGTCACGTTAGTGTTGGTCAAGCCTACGGCAAGGCTAAAACAGACAGACAGAACCGTTGCCCTGGCGGTGTACATATTTCTGTAGCCTGCAGCGCATGTGGATGGTTTTTACTCTGACACCCTTGTGCATGTATGTAATGTAGCCCATTCCAGGAAACTGTAGTAGTACACTGAGCAGAGAGCAGAGGGTCTGCTTCAAGTGATGTTTTTTACTCAACCCTTGTGCATGTAATGTATAGCTCATATCGGGGAACAAATGAAATGTACTTGGTACGCTACTACCAGATATTGAACATTAATAGCACAAAGGCTCAGAGTCGGGGGCAGGTTGGTCACGTAACGCTGCTGTGGACGCACTCTATTTAACTGCTTTCGAGGTGGTTTAAGCTGGACTTATAAATTGCACAGCTGTGAATGAGTGGCCGTTTAAGTTTTTTGTGGACTCTTCTATTAACATACGGATACAAACGAAATGGTGTTGCTCTTCTCCAACAAAAAAAATAAACGTCGGGGTGGCGAGAACGGCCCCGAACATTGGCACGTTCGCGAACACCAACAGCGCTTGCCAATCGGCGATCTGTTCCGCGCAGCTCTCGTTCAAGGAGCATGTGTTATGCCGCAAGCATAGGGAAACCTTTTGCATACCACCGCTGTAGTTGTGCATGTGACAGAGCAGTATAAGGCACACGGCAGATTGAATGTATACACATGCACGCAGGACACGTGCCGCCTCGGGTCTCCTTTTTTACACCACCGTCGTCTCGTGTCGCTGTCGCTGTCGTTGTTATTTTGTTGGACCGCGTGGGGTGCCATGGTGGCATGCCTCGTCGTGCCAGATTGTGATGGATGCCGTGCCCCTGACGAGAGTAAGCTCGACGGAGCAGCTCAAGCACCCCGACACACCCGGGCGGGGGTTGAGCAGGAGGGGAAGCCTCTTCCGACGCAACTCAATCATCGACGGCAACGAGCTGGACGTGAGCGGAAGGGGGATTACAGTGGTCGTTGTTCTTGTGTTCGCATTTAAGCCGTTCGGTCTCCGCTCAGTACCTTGGGCATTTTCCACACTGGTCTAACTGACGCGGACGCCTTCCGTGAGGGTAGAGGGATCAATTTTTTTTGTCTTTTCGCTGTTGGGTAAGCCTCGAGTTTGGTTCAGCCGCTTGTCACTCGTGTATTCTTGTGGGTGTGTCTTTGTGTAAGCATCGAATGCGGTAGCCGGTTGAAATGAACCAATAACATGAAATCAGTCTCTGAACAGGAACACGCTTTCGGAACGCCATGATCTAGGGCCCCGTGTGTTGTGAGTGTGGGGGGGTATTTGATGTTTTACACTTGTATCATGTTTCTCAACTAGTCCTCCGTTTCAAACAGACCCTCGTTACTGTAGAGTACTCACCCAATGGTTTCTTTCATGGCAGGATATTTTTTTCGTTCGTGTCTCCTTTTTTTTTTGTCAGGATGGCAAGGAAAAGGAGAACTGGCTCAAGTTCTACGTCAACCCCTACTCGGGTATGGCGGAGGCTGAACTGACGGAGCCCGTCGCCCTCAACCAGGGCAACCTGGAGGTGGGTTTTATCTTGTTGCGTTTCGTCTGGTGCCGCTTCGTCCGCTGCCGTTTTATGATGGCGTAGCTTGAGTGTTGAGCATATATATATATATATATTTTTTGTCCGCGCGGCGAGATGAAGGCATGGCTTGTACTGCTGTAGAATAGTAGCACGGTACACCCATGTTGGAGGCGCGCGCATGTAAGCTGTACGTTGAGCTACATGGCTGGGATTGTTGGACAGGTCCTAGCTACCACGCAACAGCGTGTGCGCTAACGAGACCCATACCCGTACTACATACGGAAATTTGATTGGTTCACGTTGCCAGCTGCAGCAGGAATTGCTGGATGACTGAGCATAAACCAGCATCCTTCCTTTTGGCGACGCAAAAGGAGTCGAAGAGGCATACTCCACGAAAACTCTGCTATGTTTTTGTTATTTGGCAAATGTTGATTTGTTTTTATTCCCATCTCGGGAGGGTATCGGCTCGATACACGTCGCTTATCCCTGAACGCCGCCCCCTCCCCTCAATGATGGTCACGCTAGAACCTCTTCGCTCGGTTGTAACCGTTGATGTGCGGCCTTGTCCTCGGCTCGAGCAGAAGGTCATCCCTGCAAGCGTCGTTAAGCCCAAGTACCAGCGGCCGGGGGACGGGCGCTTCATCGACCACTACATGTGCCACATGGGTGTTGGCGGTTTCCACAGGTGAGATAGTGAGATAGTGAGATAGATAAATTATCTGCTCGGGCCATACATCCTCCTGATGCGTCGTTCTACCACTGTTCTGTTGCTGCTGCGGACCGCTGCTTGTTCTGAGTCCACGTAGAAGGGGGTGGTTTTCGTGCTTGTTTTTCCGTCTTGTGGATGAGGATACGGTGATGTGCCTCACGTTTTTGTACACTAGACTCGTCTCCGTTTTTTTTTTGTGATTGGTCGTGTGCACGGTGGCACCAAGCAGTAGGCGCTTTCGACGTCCTTAGTACCTACGCGCTGAAGACGGAATAGAGCGCCCCGTCTTGAACATCTTTCGTCGTGTCGCCCCTTACCTACTTTTTTGTTGTTCGAAGGTCGCACCAGGCGGTGTACACTGACGACCTCCTGAATCTCGCGGCGTCACTTGAGGCAGAAAACGGGGCTCCCACAGGTGAGAAGAGAAAAGGGAACCTCTTGGGTTTATGCATATGCCGGTATTCTAGTCACCACTTTTTGGTATTGAAAGAAGCAGCGGCTTGATTCTCATACTTCCTTATGCTTCCAAAACCAACAATAGATAATACAAGTACTAGTATGGAGAACCGTTCAAAGGCATAAATATTTGGGTTATTTT